ATGAATTTCCTTATTTGCAAATTTTTTATTCAAGATTTTTGCTAATTTTCTATTGAATTTTAATGGTAGATAGAAGTTCCTCAGACATTCTGTATACTATGCCCATGGGCCATTGTATGTATTGCAACTCTTTATACTCAGAGGCTTATGTTTGTATTCTTTTGCAAACTTAACTGCTTTTGACGAAAGAAGTACCATGTTACTGTATTCATACCTTTTTTTTTCTATATATGTAGTTTTATTTTGTCTAAAGTCCCTTCCTACTCCAATATTTTGAAGATATTCCTTATCTTATTTTCTTGAAGGGTTATAATTTTGCCTTTCGGGGGGGCTGGGGTTGTGGCTCAGCGGTAGAGTGCTTGCCTTGAATGTGCAAGGACCTGGGTTTGATCCTCAGCACTAACTAAAAAACAAATAAATAAAATAATGATATAAAAAATTTGCCTTTCATATTTTTATCTTTAAGAAACCACAATTCTATGGGTCTGGGGTTGTGGCTCAGTGGTAGAGTGCTTGCCTAGCATGTGTGAGGCACTGGGTTCAATTCTCAGCACCACATAAAAATAAATGAATAAAATAAAGGCATATCAACATCTAAAAAATTAAAAATAAAAACAGAAACCAAACAATTCTAAACACCAAAGTTTTCTTTCTTTTTTTTTCCCTTAAAAAAAAGTCAACTGTCAAGGAACCAGAACCATTTACTGACAAGCAGTCCTTGCTCCATGGAGTGTAACACATGACTGCCAGAAATCAAGTCCCTGTGTGATGAAATGCCACACTATTTTACTAACTAAAGCGATACTATTTGGATGTCTGGTATGGTAAGATCTTTCAAAATGTTGTTCTTAAAAATGCCTTGGTTATTCTTGACTCTTGGCACTGCATACTAAAAAATGCTTGTCAATTAAAAAAAATATTTGGAATTTTGATGAACATTGTATTGCAATGACAGACCTTTACAATATTAAGTCTTTCAATCTTTGAACATAAAGTGCCTTTAAGTTTCTTTAGCATTCTGAAAGTAAAATTTTACAACTTCCTTCTGAGAATTTTGAACATCTTTTAGTAAACTGGTTTGTAAGTATTTAATATTTGTTGACAAAATATCTTTGAAGATTTTCATGCTGTTACCATTATGCAGGCGCACAACTGATTTTAATTTTGTGTAGCAATGTTTGCATCTAGAAAACTATTAAATTCTTATTCTCATAATTTGTAGGCTCTTTTATATCTTCCACATATACAATAATATTATTTTAGAATATCAGTTTTGACTCAAAGAAGTACTGACAGACATCCTTTCCTTTTTCCCAGTCTCAAAGAGAAAGCTTTCAACAATTCATGTTTGCTGCACGTGTTTGGTAGAAATCCTCTAATTAGACTGAAGTACCCTTCATACCTAGTTCAAGAGCATTTTTATCATGAATAGATATTGAATGTTTAGCAAACACTTTTTCTTCACCTCTTGAGATGATCACTACTAAATCTCCTTTAATTTGATTATGTGGTAGACGATAGTAATTTATTTTCTAAAGTAAAAGAACTTTGGATTCCTGGCATAAACATGACCAGATCACAATGAATCATCATTTGCTGGATTTGCCTTACTAATATTAAGTTTAGGATTTTATATCTATGTTCCTAAGTAAAATTGGTCAGTAATTTTCCTTTTCCACTTCATTTTATAGGTATTTGTTGGTCTCATAAAAATGGATTAGGGAGTATCCCTCTTTTTCTATCCGGAAAGGCTTAAGTTTGGAATTATGTACTTCATACTATTTGGCAGTACTCATCAAAGGTGTTATTTAGGCTTGAAATTTTCTTTCTGGGAATATTTTAAACCATTGATTCAATAATTTCATGGCTACTGAAACATTCTTTTGATTATTTTTGTCAGCTTCCTCTTCCAAAAAATTTGTCCATTTTGCCGGGCTCAGTAGTACACGCCTGTAATCCCAGTGATTTAGGAGGCTGAGGCAGGAGAACCGAGGTAATAGAAGGATGAGAGTTCACATCCAGCCTCAGCAATGCCGAGGAGCTAAGCAACTCAGTGAGACCCCAATACAAAATAGGGTGAGGGATGTGGCTCAGTAGTCGAGTGTCCCCAAGTTCAATCCCTGGTACCAAAAAAAAAAAAAAATTAAAAAAAGTTGTCCATTTCTTCCACAGGTTATACATTTATTGGCTTTAAGTTGTTCATATATCTATTTAATGATACAACAGAAATTTTTGTCCTATTTTGTTCTTTAGACGTTATGTGTGCCTGGTTTTTCTTGATTAACTTTGCTGGGAGGTCTCTGAATCTTTTTCAAATAATAAACTTTGATTTTTAAAACTTTTCTGCTCTAATTTTTATTTCCTTCTATTTTCTTTGAACATATTGTGGTATTCTTTTATTAAGATAGCTCTTCTCAGTAATATTCAACCTTTCTTTGCTTCTGCTAGACTCACTGAAGTCTATCAACTTCATTCAAGGGCTCTTTTCGATGCAACCCATAATTTCATTATGCATTTTCATCACTGTCTAGTTGTACTTATATTCCAGAGTCCACTAGAGTTTCTTCTTTCATTTATGCGTTATTTAGAATCATGTTAATTTCTCCAAATATGGGGCTGCTTAACCATTTACTTACAGGTAAATGCCAATTTAGCATTCTCTTCCTAATAAATTGAACCTTTCATTATATGAACTGATTCTTTTTATCCCTAGCAATGTTTCTGCTTTAACATTTTTTCAGATGCTAATATTATCTATATTGACTTTCTTTTGGTTTGTATAACTTTAATCATCATTTTACTTTAAAACTTTCTATGTATTGTTCTTTAGGTGTCATCTTTTATAATGGCATATAATTGATTTCATGTTTTAACTAGGTAACAATTTGTGTTTAACAAAATAACTTAGTCCATTTACATTTCTTGTAATTACTGGGTTACATCCCTAAGACTATTTAGTACTACTATAATAATATATCACAGATTGGTTAAGTTATAGAGGTTTACTTTGGCTCAATTCTGGTCAAAGGATGGGGCTGCATACAGTGATGGCCTTGTGAGAACAGTCTCAAGCCAGAAAAGTCCAAGTCACCTCCCAAAGACCTCTCCTTTAAACACTATAGTCAGATTGTTTTCCACTCTCTCTTAATAACTCAGAGCAGGGATGAAAGTCCCAACAGTTTCAGAAGAGGCAAACCACTATCTACCACCTGTTTTTTTCCCCTATTCCTGCCCCTTCTATGCTTCTTTTTCTATTTTATGATTATTTTCCTATTTTTACCTTCTATTACCTCAGAAACGATATACTAATTTCTGTGTAACCATCATTTTAAGTGGTTATACTAGAAATCATATTTATACTTAATGTTAAAGCTAACCAATACCTTTATTCTCTCAGACCATACAAATTTAGAGGACTTATTCCAGTCACTACCCTATCAACTTATATATTTCAGTTGAAAGGTATTTTAAATATAATTTTGAACTCCATGAAACGGCATTATTGTTTCATATAGCAAATGCTTTTTTAAGATTCATCCATTATTCACAACCTTCGGTCTTTTAGTCCATCTTCAATCACCTTCCTACTATATAAAGCATATCTTTTAGAATTTAAGAATACTTAGGTGGCAAACTTGCTCATTTTGTTGTCCAAAACCGACTTTATTCAACCATCATTCCTGAAATATATTTTTGAGGTATAGAATTTTAAGTTGGAAGTTATTTTTCTCTTAGTCATACAACTGGTTTCTGGTTTCCATTATTGATCCTTAGAAGTCAGTTAAAGATCTAACTGTACGGAAGATTCATTGTGTACTGGTTACCACTTCAGCCCTCTGCATCTTGCACTACAATTTCTATTCTTTTTTTTTTCAATATTTATTTTTTAGTTGTAGTCGGGCACAATACCTTTATTTTATTTATTGTATGTGGTGCTGAGGATCGAACCCAGGGCCCCGCACGTGCTAGGCAAGCACTCTACCACTGAGCCACAACCCCAGTCCACAATTTCTATTTCTAAAAGTGATGAGACAGAACATTCACACATCACATGAAGTATGTCTGTTACTTAGAGATAGGCAGCAAGGACAACAATAGCCTAGGATTCATGACAAGCCTTTCCTCCAAGGGTCAGGAAAGCTGTTCAGGCCAGGAGTCTCATCTGCATATGCCCCAACTACACTGTAACTGAGGGTCCCTGGAAGGCACTCCACTTGGGTTTTACATCCTGGTGGTAACCTCATATGCCGAGTTATAGTGTTGAAGGTCATGCCAGTTTAAGAGGGATAGAAACACAAATCACGGTGTTCTAGACATTCCCTCTTTATCTCATGATCTTGCATTACCAGCATATTCTGAGCACATTTTTTTTCCCTAAGGAACTACCAACAAGAAAGCTGGGAAGAGCTGGGTCACCAAGACTACTAGGGACTTGTCCTGCTCTAGGTGATTTCCTTTGAAGGTTAATTGTGACTTCTATTTTGGCTACTTTAACCAGTTTTTGTCTTTGGCATTCTATCTTTTACTATGATGTGTGTAAGTGAGGACTTCATATCTATTCTGCTGAGGCTAAATCTGTGGACTGGTGTTTTTTATTTGAAAGTTTCTCAGCAATTAATTCTTCAAATATTGCTTCTGTCCCCATTACCTATTTGAGACTATTAGTTATACATTTGATTTTTATTCTTTTTCCTGTATTCTCACATTTTCAAGCTGCTTTTCTACTCAGCATCCTGCACAATTTCTTCTGTCCATTACAGTCACTAATTCTCTTTTCAATTCCATTTAATCTGTTAAACCTGTTCATTGAAGTTTATTTTTTTATTCTACTTTCCACTTGGAAAAGTTGTTTTTTCTTTTCTCAAATATGATAGTCATCTTTTATAGTAAATGCCCTGTTTCCTGGAGACCTTCTAAACAATCTTTCTTCTTAGCACATGTGTAATATTGTTTTAGTCAGCTTTTTTTGCAGCTGTGACCAAAAGACTGGACAAGAACAATTAGAGGAAGAAAGTTTATTTGGGGGCTCAGGGTTTCAGAAGTCCTAGTCCATTAACAGCTGACTCCATTCTTTGGGGTGTAAGGTGAGGCAGAACATCATGAAAGAAGGGTATGGTAGAGGAATGCAGCTGGGAACATCACCAGGAAGCAGACAGAGACTCTCCTCACCACAGACAAAATATGTACTCAAAGATACGCCCCTAGGGACTCACCTCCTTGAGCCACACCGTACCTGTTTACAGTTACCATCCAGTTAATCCTTATCAGGGGATTAATGCACAGATTAGGTTAAGATTCTCACAACCCAATCATTTTACCTCTAAGCTTTTTTGCATCATTTCACAGAGCTTTTGAGGGACACCTAATATTTAAACCGTAACAATTATAAAACATGTTCTAATTTCTGAGTTTTCTGGTGGCCTATCTCTATTGCCTTAGTTGCTGTGCTAATTTTCCTTGTGGAGTTTATTTAAACTTGAGGAAACTGTGATCTCAGTATCCTCCAAAAATTTGTTTAAATCTTTCAGGTACTTATTCTGGGACCATTTTATATGGATTCATAACTTGTTGTTTGAGTACACAGATGACTTGATTTGGGATGCTCTGAAACTCTGCACAAGTACTAGAGCAGGTTTGCTTTTGGCGTTCTCTGATGGTATTCCTTAGGGTCCTGGCTTTGTGGGAAAAATGTATTTTATGAATCTACTTCAACTGGACTCTAAGTTCTGTTTTTTTGCCCACAGTTTTCCTAAGGACAATCAAAACCAAATCTGAAATTCAACCTCAGGGCAAAAGGGTTGCAGCAGTTTCATTTAGTAATACTAGCCTTGGGATTACTTAATCTTTTAGAACACTGCCAACTCCCAGATGCATCTAAAAATGCTTTTTTCTATTTTACCTGAAAGTTTTTAGTTTTAGCACTGCTCAGATGAACGTAGTCTGCCACCTTACTAAAAAAGAAATCTAGCATTTTGTAAAATTTCTACATATTCTCAATTATCAATATTAGAAAATTTCCAATGTCCTTTAAAATTCCTTATAAACCTAAGTTTATCTGGGTTCACTCATGTGTTTGCTGTTGGCTGAAAGCCAGCTGATCCAGGATTGCTTTGGGTAATGTAGTTTACAATGTTTCCCAAAACCTAATCTGATACTCTGGAGGGTCAGCTCAGGCTTAACATGGCAGTTGGACAGGTTTCCAATAGTTCCAGTGGAGCTATGCCAGGCTCTGAGGCCTAGAAGCTAAATTTGCATAATATCACCACACCATTCTTTTGAGCAAATCCATGGCATGGGAGTAGACTTTTTGTCTTTGATAACTACTGATCCCCTGTATATCAAATGATCTTGGCATATGCAAGATTTTAATGTGTCCTTTTAAAAATTTATAAATCAATCTAACTATGAGAAAAATTTGTGTTTTTATACTCCCCAAACATTAGGCAATAAATGAGACTCTCAAAGTAACTAAAAATTATTTGAAGGGTCATTTGTTATAAATACTGTAGAAACATTATTATACTTTGTACAATCTACTATGCAAACGATAATTCTGAATATTAAAGCTTCTCTTTAACATTTCATTGTGAATAAACAATGAGTCAGAAGGAGACATGCAGAATAATCATGTATGCAATTATTAAAGTGGAAATGATACTTTCAGAATGACAATCTAATAAACTTGTTGAAATTCTACATTTGTCATTATGATATACTTAACTGATGTAGCAAAAGAAAATCTCTAATGCTTGAACATCAGCATTTAAAACAAACTTGTATACAAAAAATTCTCAATATTTCATTTTGGAGGCTTCCTTATTTAATGCACAAAATCAAATTCCATTCAGTAAATACTGCTATTCCAACAATGTCCTAAAGTTTTCCAGTTGTCTTCTGGTGATCCTGGTCCACATACTGCATTCATAAAAACCAAAAACAAAATAATACGTAAGGATGAAATAATAACTTTAAAAAACCAATGATAGTTAAAAGGTTCTAAATTTTATATTTTGTCAAATTTTACTGTATTTACTAAAATTTTGGTTTTGTAGACTCCGTGATACTAAATTGCCTGTTGGGTTTAGTAGTTTCTCGCATCAGTTCCTGTAATTGTCCAATTTGCTCATCACGAAAGTCATTAAGTTTTTCTTCTGGGAGGGAGGTGCCAAAATATGCTCTTTCAGTTGAATTTTGTCTGTATTCATTAGCTTGTTCCCATAACACTGATGCATACACCTAAGAAGAAGAAAAAGAAAAATGATTGATGTTCACTTATTTAATCATGGAGGACTTAATGAATTCCAATTCCAAGTTACCTATTTTTCTCCATCACTAAATTTTCTGCATTTGCCTAAGAAGATATAAACAATATAGTCATAGCTTTATTATTCAGTGATAATTTCAAATATAGCTTATTTTCAGCACAGGCTTTTAGAAAAATTCTTCAGTTATAAATTAATGGTGCGTGTGTGTTGGATGAGATCCCATGGAGGGGCATTAGAAGCATGCATGTACCAGCCAAAACCGTAAACTGTAGATACACAAGTATGCACATACTTCTGGGACCATAGCTTTCATGAGAATTTCAAACAGGGTCCATGAATCTTATAGGCTTAAAAGTAGGTCCCCAAATTGTCTATTTACCTACCTTCAATTAAAGATTTAAAATGTTAGAGAAAGAAACTTTTTATCCTTTCAGCCTTCAATATTTAACAATCATCTATGTCAGGAAAAGAAATCTGTATTTTTCATGTTGTCATTTTGGTCTTAACATATTCAACCTAATATTCCAACTACCATTGTTTTCAGTAACTCGTTTGAAACAGACACTCGCTCAAAATTAACCTTTTAATCGAGCAGGAAGTACCCATGTATTTCATTAGGTTAAAGATTATATGCATATGCTGAGTTTATTCTGAATAATGCTACTACCCAGTCTGGTTTAAGACATCTAAATTGTTTACAAACACTAGATTGCTAGTGTCATTGAAGCAGTTTTAATTCTAATTCCAAACTTTTGCTTGTATGGAAAGTCATAATTTCTTCATGCTTTCCAGAAATCCACTTCATAAAATAACAATATTGTATATACCATAAGGTTTACCATTTCCTCTTCCAAGTATATGCTTCAGAGCAGCATGTCTTAATCTTGGCACTACTAAGATTTTTGGATAATTTGGATATTCTTTGTTGTGGAGTGGGTGGGAGCTTTTTCTTTCATACTGTATTTCACAGGATCTCTTGTTCTCTAACCACTAGATGACAGTAGCATCCCTCCCCTTATCTTTATCATGAGAAAGGCCCCAAACATTGCCAATGTTCCTTGGAAGGCAAAATCACCCCTGATTTGAGAACTATACTAAAGCGGTTTTCAAATTTGTGAACAAGTGCCATGCATAAAAATGTTCAATGGAGCATTGTTTGTTTTTAGTATTTTGCTTTAATAATCTATCCATACTTCAAGAGGACAAAGGACACATACCCTGAAGTTTACTCAAATAATGGACTACCAAGAAGTAACAGCAACTGAAATAAATATCTTCATATCAACATGGATGAATCTTAGAAAAGCAAACTTACGTTATTCATTTATAGAAATAAGGTCAATTCTCAAATTCACAAATATAAAAGGGCTAGACAAAACAATCTTTAACAAAAACAAAATTGGAAGAGTCCCACTTCGAAATTTCAAAACAGTGTGGAATGGGCATTAGGATAGACATACAACAAACAGCAAGAGAATTGAGCCAAGAATCCAGAAATAAACCTATAAAATATATAGCTCCATTAATTTTTAACAAGGGTGTCAAGGCTACTTAACAGGGGAAATGCAGTCTCTTTAACAAGTGGTAACAGAAAAATTGCATTTCCTCATGCAAAAGGGTGAATAAAGTTGAATTCTTTCCCCCATATAAAAAATTAAGTCAAAATGGATCAAAGGCTTAAATATGAGGTAAAATTATAAAACTTCTAGGAAAAATAGTACTGGTAAATATTTGTGATGTTTGATTTGGCAACTGATTCTAACAAATGACAAAGTCTGAGCAACATAACAATAAATAAAGTGTTTGTCATCAAAATTAAAAAATTTTGTGCAAAGATATCAATGTAAAACAACAAAGAATGAAAATGTAATTTTCAAATTGTATATTTCTTAAGTTACAATTGTTTATGTATTCTGAATATAAAACTTATCAACAAGATAACCCAATTACAAATGGCAAAGAACTACCATAAATATTTTTTCAGATATCCAACATTATTTGTAATCAAGGAAACACAAATCAAAACCAATAATTAAAAAACCAATAAACCAATAATACAAAGACACAAGTTGAACAGAAATTAGAAAGGAATCAACTCTTTGAAGGACAGCAGAGGACATTAGGTTAGATTCTCATTTTTGTGTTTTTGTCTGAAGAAAGATCCCATTTGGTGCTGAGAGGAGACTAGAACTTGGATAGTGGCCTGCAGTGTCACTAAGGAGCAATCAGAGGACAGTTTGGAATACCCACAGCAGTTGGAAAATGAAAACGGAAAATGCAACTATGGGTAAATGGCAGAAAGATCAATAGAGGAAAGGGAGCAGGAGGTAGGGAAAGAGAAGGTGAAGGAGAGGTATTGGAGTGTGAACTAGAATATGATATATTCCATGCTTTTATGATTACATCAAAATGGATTCTACTGTCCTGTATAACTAAAAAGAACCAATAAAAGGGGGGGGGGGGTGCCAGGGAAGAAAGCTACTTAAAGGGAGCCTTAAATTCTGCAAATAAACTCTGCAAAAATTTCTGGTTATCTCCTAAACTACGCATGCTCCAGATGGAGTCAAACTGCTTGAATCTATCAGAATGTGATTTAACGTACATAAAAGACAAAAACTGTCAGTTTAATAGTTAAATTATTTAGGAAAATGATTACTTAAATTATCAATTTAAATTTTATTTGGAAAAATCATTAGCAAACTAATTTCTGTTGTATAGATTTTAAGAATAAAAGTTGTTTTTTTTAGCACTTGTAATTAATAAAACTAAACCGTTTCAATGAATAACATAAAAGGAGAAACAACCAGATATTATGTGACTCCTGAGTGAAGTATATTTTACCTATACCAAAAATAAACCTGCACCTAGTGAGCATCTACTCCGTTAATTATTCTGCCTTCTGTATTTCCTATTAAAGTACTATACACAACTGTGGGAGTGCAACCAGCAAAATTCAGATTATGGAAAACTAAGTTTCAAAGGAAATTTTTAAAACTATATAAGTAATAAAGGAAAAATAGCAATATTACAATGAAAAAACCTAAAGGATACACCTCAATCAGATGATCAAGGTAAATATCACCATTAGTAAGTTTTATTGCCATCATAAGCCCCTGATCATTAGGCAATGAAGAGGGTGTATCACCTTTGTGGTTTAAGTAACTTTCTCAGTTTAGAGCAAACAGGCAATTTGACTACTAAACATGATATGGGATATTGAATTAACTTGGAACAGCAAAAGAGCATAGTGCAAAACTGTGGAAACTAAATATATTTTCTAGTTTAAAGTAATGTATCAATGTTAATTTCGAGAGTTCAATGAATTACAATGTATCAATTTAATTTTTATTCAATCAAAAACTTTAAGAATTATTATTAGGCTAAGTTTGCAGCTCAATGGAAGAGAACTTGCCTTAGAGGTGGCAAGATTCTGGGTTCAATCCCCAGTACTGCCAAAAACAAAAGAAATTAATTTTGAAGTCCTAATACATACTAAGCATCCCCAACCTGAAAACCCAAAATGCTCAAAAGTTTCAGGTCTTAGAGCATTTTAAAATTCAAGTTAGGGATGCTCAACCAGCAAAGTCTATGCAAACCAAACATGAGAAAAAAAACATTAAAACACTTCTGGGCCCAAGTATTTCACATAAGGGATATTTGACTTGTAATGGTATTATAGTTAACTTTTTAAAAGAGTCTCTTGTTAGGGATAGATACTGAAGCATCTGTAAATAAAATTAAGTTTCTGATTTGCTTTAAAATAATCTGGAGTGGTATATATACACAATGGAATATTACTCAGCAATAAGAGAATAAAATTATGGCATTTGCAGGTAAATGGATGAATTAAGACCATCATGCTAAGCAAAGTAAGCCAATCCCAAAAAACCAAAGTCCAAATGTTTGATAAGTGGATGTTAATCCATAATTTGTGGGGGGTGGAGGGGGTATATAAGTGGAGGTACTTTGGATAGAGCAAAGGAGAGGGAAGGGGAGGGAGGGAACGGGACATGGAGATAGGAAAGATGGTGAAATGAGATGGTCATCATTACACTAGGTACATTTATGATTGCATGAATGGTGTGTCCCTACTTTGTGTACAACCAGAGAAGTGAAAAATTGTACTCCATTTGTGTACAATGAACCAAAGAGCATTCTGCTGTCATGTATAACTGATTAGAATAGATAGATAATCTAGAGAAAAGGTACAGGGGTACAGATACAAGAAGACTGGCCATGAACCGATAAATACTGAAGTCAAGTGATGTATGAATGGTTCATGGTTCATTGTGTTCACTGAACATGTGTATATGTTTGAAATTTTTCCCATTAGTTTTTTAAAAGTATATATATATATATATATATATATATATATATATATATATATATATATATACACACACACACACACACCTGAACATTAAAATAAAAAATAAAAAAATCAATAGAATTAACTATGTATAAATACTAATCTAAAACTATTTCAATCACTTCTAAATCCCAACTGTGGGTTTGAAATTTCTCATCTAAAAAACTTACTAAGTCCTGAAGAGCTAACCTTCACCTGTCTAACCACATGCATGTAACTCTTTAATGATATTGCTTTATCAACCTTAAAATCACAATTTTTAATTATTTGTTTCAGTAAGGAATACAAAGCATCTTCAAAGTAAAATTTTATTCTTGTGAATTAGCAAAGGAAAAAAGCAAACTGTTTCTTCAGATTCAAATATGTTCTATTCTTTATAATCTCAACTTCTAAAATACAACTAAAAATTTTGTGTTTGTGGATTCATCAGGGTTCAAAGAATAAACCAGTTAGTATCACGACTGAGCAAAGGTAATCTCAAAACTATTATAGAATAATGAAGTTATAATGATCACCTGCTTTTTCCACTATAAGCAGGTTCTTAATTAATCTTGTTCTTAATTAATCCTCTTTGATTTTCATTCTCTCCTATTTCCAATTAA